TTCAGGGTCATGGGGGAAACTGACAATAACTCAGGGGTGAAATGTTGATGTGCAGGTCTATCAAGAGCTGTGCCAGTGCATAGACTTCAGGAAGACATGTGCCACCCACCTGCACCCACAGAGTCTCAGAGGTCACCGGTGAAATTTAACAGAACCGTAGCTACCACCCTCACTGACTGGCACCAGCTGGATTAGGATGGGTAGATGGTACTGATGGCTTATTAGACCAAGCTGCAGAAGTCTGACCCAGTTCAGGATACATTGGAAGCAGGCAGACCAGTGCATGTGGATGAATTGTGGAGGCAGAAGGTCAACACCACCATTTCACCTACAATAGAAGTGTAACCACAGCCTTCATGCCTAGGGTAGGGGCTCCATACTCAGAGAGCAGTTTGGGGGCATTCTTCCCTGTCACCAAAACGTATCCTTTTTTGTGAGGACCCTGTAGTGAACTGCATCTCAAATATACAGTAGTACCATGTATACACCATGTAGAGTTGAATGATTGGCAACATACTGTACCAGCAGTGTCAGAAATTTAGGTCCACAAATGGCAGTGGAATTGCCTACAGGGCTAACCCTCTAGTTAGAAAAAGTTTCTTGCAATATGAAGAGTTCTACTGCAATGATCTGTGTTGTGGGGAACTTGAAATGTTGCTGCTGATTTGATAAAATATATACCTTATCTGACAGTATTTATATAAAATAATATTCATATTTCTTTGGTATAAAATTCAGAGTGTGCCCATGTACACCCCTGATGGTCAACGGGAAGGGATTTAGGGAGGGCTGGAGGAATATTGAATTATTTTATCTCATCGTTCTGATTTTTAAAATGTAAAATTAATAAAACTTGATTCAAAAAACACTAGGAGGTTTCTCTTTTTACTTTTCCTCCCACATTTTAAAACATTTCAGTGCAGGTACATGCATATTTTTAATCATCATGTGTATATTCACTTGATGGCCTATCCAAGAAGAAAAAAATAATTTTGGGAAACAACTGAACTGTAATCATGAAAGACAGGAGAAGAAGAACAGCTCAAAAACAATTTTACCTATCTTAACTATATTTCATTGTGTTTTAAAGAAACTTGGAAACTTCATCAACTTTCCATACTTCAACAAGCTGGACTGTGGAAAGCATTTTAATTCTCTTTTTTGTTACAGCAGAAGACACAAAAAATTAATTCAGCTGTCATTACTCTATCTGTTTTTGACTTTGCTCAAGCAAACAATCCCACGCACAAAAGTAATTACGTTCTTGTGTTTTTCAATTAACTGCTTGTCAATAAACCTAGCACACCGGAGCTCATTTGTCATTTTGAGAGGTGTTTTTCATGAGAAAGTACATAAACGTCATATACTTTTTTATTTTTCCTTTTTCACTCATGAAGGGTCACAGCATATCAGAGTCACTTAGCCGCACATTTCAAACACCAGCATCACATTATTTGGAAAAATCTGCTTTGTTTCAATTTCCAAAAATATGAAATACAGTACATTAAAACATGTAATGTACAAGAGATAGTTTACATTGATGCTTTTGAATCTGTAATGATAAGCATGTCCAATAGACTCAGTGAATGCCAATGCTCCTTTTAAAAGTTCCTAATAAAGGTTTTACAGAGTAGTTTTATTTCTGAATCTCCCCTTTAACTGCTGTTTTGATAAAACAAGCTGAGAGTGAGGCTTTTATCATTTCAATTTGTGTGCTTTTGTCCTTCGGGACTGAAGTACATTCAACTGACCTTGAGTGGGCATTAAGCTGCAGTTTATATAAAATTAAGAATGTTGTTAAAATCTTTTACTATTTAAAATGTCCACTTGCAGATACTGCATGCTTCTGCAAAGTCACTCAGATTACATATCCCCAAAAGACAAAAGATAATGATAATTTCCCCATTAATTTGTTTTCTTAAATGTGCTGTCAAAATCAAAGATAAAGGCAACTTTTGGAAAGTACACAAAATGTATACAGTATGTCCTATATGCCCTATAAATAATTCAGCAGAATAATGCATTATTCTGTGGCGTAAATTATTACATTCCTGAAAGTGTAGATTTTCATCTACATTCTACACATGAAATAATTACTATTAGGAAATTAAAAAGTCTAACTCTAGGAGGAAAGACCAATAACAGATTATTATAGCTCCTCCATCATGTAACCATGATATGAAAACAGCCTCTTCCCTTATCTTGAAAGTACTAGAACACTAGATTCCAACAGACAAGGAAATGTTAAACATATGCAAACAACTTTCTTTTTGTGAAATCTATAGCTACAATAGCATAAATATATTTCAGACTATTTTTGTAGGATTACAGACTTCTTGTACTTTTCTACTGAAAAGAAGGAAATATAAACTTGTAACTTTTGTCAGTAGTTTTTGAGAATGTGAGTAATAGAAAACTGACAGTATTCTTATTTAGTAGCTAATCTATAATACTGTACATACAGATCTGAAGTGTGATCTAGTTTAGGTTTTAGAAGTTTGACACAGCTATAACTACTGTATGTGTAAAGTTCATTGGCCTTTGAAACAGGGCAGTAGGTTCAGACAAGATGGCAGGTTTTGCTTTCAGCAAGATACTGTACCATGTTCCACCTGTTGGTCAGGGTATATTTAAAGCCAGGAATCTGGGGCTTCTAGGTATATTCAAACTATGCTCACCAGAAAATCTCTGTTGGCTACTCTGCTAGACACACTCCAGTTGCACAAGAGTGATAAGGGAGTAGAGAAAAAAGCGACCAATCGATGAGCTAGTAAACATTACTGTATACTTGAGCTTTTTGAAAGAAGTGTGTTTTGGGAAAGAGTTACTGAATTAAGAGTTTTGGGTTCAAGATAAACTTTGATTTTGTGAAGCTGCCCCACTGTATTTCTAGATAGGGGAATCTGAAAACGTTTAGCTTAGAAGTTTAGGCAGAGCTAGGCTTTTGTGTGATGTTTTTTGTTTGTTGTAAACGTTTAACTAAAATCCAAATTCTTTACAATATGCTGAAGATGAGCGCATACATGTGGAATTGTCCCTAAACCACTCTTCCCAAGGTAGCATAGGGATCTTCCACATCGTATACTAGGCAAGCAATCGAAGCCCATTCTAATGTGCATCTCTCTTCTTCATCAATGCTTAATTTTATGAAATGTGGAGCTGAATATTAAATGGTGCAAAATAGAAAGAGGTATTTTGAGAATAGTTTTATTAACTAAAAAAGAGAAGTCTGTGCTATTGTTGTTTCACTTTATGTGGCTTTGGGGTTATCTGAGTCTTATAGAAAACTTTTTAACTGGAAGGGTCTTGCTTGTTTCGAGGAACTGTACAGTACACAATGTACTGTAGGTTGTCGGAAACCCAGGCAGAGCAGATTGTAGTGTACAGGGAATGCAGAGAACCTCACAACAAACTAAATCTCTCTCTCCTTCTCGGCAGGAGTCCCCGGCCAGCCATCAATGCCAACAGAGCCAGTTGATGTGAGGAAGAATGAAATGGAAAAACAATTAGTCTATAAAGAAAAAAGAGCCTGAAGAAATATGTTGCCTCTAATTAAAAGGCATATCTCATTGTACCGTGAAATAGAAAGCAGTTTGAAGTTGATAAAAAAGAAAAGAGGACGTATTTATAAAATACAGTATCTCCAATCACATAATTCATTGCACAAAAGAAATGCTACCTTTTTCACAAAGTTATGATTTAATATGGCATGAGTGTCTGTAGAATTATCCTGCCCTCTCCCTCATCTTGCATTCTATGCCCCTGAAAACTTTTTTTTTCCATAAATGCTTTCCAAAGTCCAAAAGCATATAAATCTTATCGTTTTAAAAATATGAGGAAATTTATAAAATAAATACAATATGCATAATGTAGCTAAGGCACGTGGTCAGTAAGAAATATGGATAAATTATCTGGATGTGTACCTGTAGCATTACACTTCCTTTATAAGCATTTCGTCTTCATATGACAACAAAAGAAACCAAATAAAAAATAGGAGTTCAGTTGGCCCATTTACCCCATTTGGTTGCTAGTAACTAATTGATCTAAAGATCTAATCCAATCAATTTTTGAAGGTAGACAAGTTGTTGGCTTCAACAGGAAGACTGGCTTAATTTATCTAGACTTCCACTGTCCTTTATAAACCCCTTACACAACCCTCTATACTGTAGTTTTCAATGTACTTCCAATAGTTTCCATTTTTATTTTCTGGTTCATTTCACATATGATTTCCATATGTTGACTTCAGTGAAGAAATCAGGTTGGGTTCTAATATTTTGTGATTCAACAGCAATGTAACAGATTAAGTTAAAAACGTATAGGGAAAAATCTTAGGTATTGTGAATCTGTAAAATCTGTAAAACCTTTATCATGAAAATGTTTTACATGAATACCATTTGAAGATAAGGAACAAATGTCCCACATTAATAATGTATCGGTAAACATTTTACCTCTCTCTCTGAATGACTTAACTTGCCTATTTTACTTACAATCTTATCCATACAGAAAGCTACAGAGGTTCATGTTTAAGCCCTCGATGAAGATACTTTTAATTTTCTTTCAAAGATTTTTTTAAAATTATCATGAGATGAGATATTTTGTTTGAACATCACCCGTAAAAATGTTACAATTGTTTTGAATACACTGATCATCAAAAGAAACTTAGCACTACAGTAATAACTACATAGTTCATGAAGTTACTGCCAGGAAACTGACAATAGTTTTTACAGTAGCTGTGCTGACATTTAATTGAACAGACTTGACGTTGGTAAATTCATTATGCTGATTACCATTTGCTGCTCACAGGGGGTCTATTGTGAAAGTCATAGGCTCCTAGCTTGGAAGGAATACAAGCTGTGCACCAGGAACACATGCTTTGCACTAGATTGCAGATGTTGGGATTCTGTACCTTTCCTTTCGTACAGCCCAGACTGCTCATTGGTCTCTAATCCCTAGATGACACAACATCACACCTCATCCCACAGATGTTCAATGGGGTTCAAAGCTGGTGAGTAAAGCCTCTGTAGCACAGCTGTCACATTCTCTTCTGGCACAAAAGCCATTGTTACACTAGGAGCATGAGGATGTATGTAGTCTAGCACGAATCTTGACACCTCAGGATGAGGCTGCAGGAATGGCAGCAAGTGAGGTCCATTAATCACTACCAGTGGATTTCTTATCAGCTAGACACTCCTGCCCAGACCATCACACTCTCCATCAACTGATCTATTGTGCACAAGTATCATTCTGCAAGTCTGCACCTTGCTCAATGATGTCCATCAGAGGAGTCTAGGCAAAACCGACAAAGAGGACTTTGATGAGTCCACCAGATTTGAAAAATAGGCTCTTGCGATTGACAGTTTTCTGTTCATGCGGAGGGTGTGGTTGAATTTGCAATGAGAAAATTATATGAAGGTGCTACATGACAATGTCAGACCTGAAGAGGTGTCATAACTTGTGGTCTCCTAGATGGTGACAGATCATTGACAGACTGTGATTGGCTGCAACGCATTGTCAGGTTTGAAATTGCTTGTTGTAAACACATCAGATGGCAAGCAACAGTGTGCTGACTTAGTATGACCACCAACATACTGATGGCACAATGTTGTTCTCTTTAAAAAGAAGGACATATTGTTTTATCTCTGTTTTTCCTTCTTGATTTTTACCAAAATTGACACCCAATAGGTTAATATTGATGCTGATACAGCAGTCAAAGTCACTCAAGCATATCATACTGAGTGGCAAATAATCATTAATCAAAATAATGCCAAACATATTGTATTATATCAATATCTATAATATGTACACTTTGTATACGAGCATATATACTGTGTATAAATATATATATAAAAAACATAAGCACATACAGTAGATTGATAAGTTTCTTTTCATGCTCAATATATAATTTCATGTTCAAATTCAAAAGAACAGGAGATCCCTAGTGATTCAACTCTCCAGGGAATTCTTGACATATGGGACTCCCTTGCTCTTGAATATCGCTTCTCTTCCATTATACGTTGCCTTTAATTTTGGACAAAATGGCATGTTCAGAATTCAGAACATATGGGCAAGGTAGTTAATGGCTTGAACATTAAACATTAAAAAAATCTGAAAGAAATACAGTCCTCAAACATTTGACATGCGAATTGATTTCCATATGTACAGTATGTAGATTTTTATGGCTGTATGTGTTTGGCTGCACATTTTACCACACAGCAACATTTCTTTTGCCTGTTTTGAGGATACTATTAGAATTAGATGGGGGACTGTTTGCTGGTGATTTGTTTACATTACCACCAGAAGTGCCTCATAAAATCCTCTGCTCTGTAATTTAACATCTTTGTGCTGTGTAGTTTTAAGAGCCTTGCTGTTAGATTCAAGAACTTTCTGTCTTTCGCTTTGCTCTTTCAGCCATGTCTAAAGAAATACACTGCCATCTTCTGATGTGAAAGAGTATATTTGAAAATAACGCTTCCATCTCACAAAGAGGGATTTAATCATGTATCCAGGGTGACGAAGCTTTAAGCGATGCAGCATTTCTCTGAAGACTGTACCATGTATTCTTTAAGTATTACATCAAAACACCTTGTTCAAAGTTATCTTTCACTTTTAGGCACAAATCTATTCAGCTCTCTAGGTGAATATACAGTATAAATTATTGTTTTTTTCCTGTATTTTATTTGTTCATTCTTCTTGTACAACATCTTAACTTGAAACATTTTAACACAAAATAACATTTGTCTACATTTGCCAAATAATGATTAATTTCCTTTCTTGACATACAGTACAGTTCATTAACTAGCAAATATATTCAGATTTCCCTGACCTACTGTATACCCAAAAGTGCATTTAGAATGAAAATCATTTGTGTGTACCTAAGTAGAGAATCTAAGAAAAATAAGTACATATATTTCAAAATGTTTTGTGAACCCTCATCTGGCTTTAATAACCCCAAGGAAGCTGCAGTCTTTCTTAAGCTCTTCAAGAGGAATACTCAACAACTTCCATATGTTGAACCTCTCACGTCTCTCATATTGTGCTGGGTCTGTACTTACAGTCTGTTTTTCTTCAGTTTGTGCCATTAAAATTCCACTAGAGGCTGTGATGGTCAATCAAGAACACTGATTTTGATGTTGTTTTAACCATTTGCTCATTGATTTCCATACAACCTTTTGTATTACTACTGTACCTGTATAGTCCATTTGAGACCAAGTGTGACTTTCTTGCAGAAGACACCATTTTGTTTTTCTAAAAACATCCTGGCAATCATTGGAATCTGTCTGTCCCTGCGGTCTAACTAGGACATTAGGGTGAGATCCAGAAAGGAGGTATTGTGTCCTGATGGTGCCATACAGTAGGTGTTTGAAAACTCCCAGCTGCTGACACTAGGTTTGAGCCTTCCAAAACACAATTCTAACCATGGAGTTGAGTAAAATCTCATATCCTCTACAACAACTATATCATCAACCTTGGTTTCTTGTTTATGGACACCACAATCAAAAACTCTTTATTATACACTTATCAGGGCTCCTAATACCAATTCTAGTACCAATTTGAAATTAAGGAATAAGTAAGCTACTGTACATTATAGTACAGTGATATCTCAAACAAAGGAAAGAAGGTCAAAATGAAGATAAATTCAGATATTTTTATTGCAATATCCTTAAGTGAGCACTGTTCATAGTTTGACTGAAACAGACAGAATCTGAGTATTCAAAGAGTTGTACAGTTTGGACTGTACAGATGGAGGAGTTGGTATTTTATAATAACCTAAATTAACTCAATTGACAGGCTTTAGCAATTGCACATGTTTCTTATTTGATATTGACTATGCTCAAGGACGTCACAGATCACATTGATGAGAAGGGTTTATGAACAGAAAAAATTGCTTTCTTTCCACATTCTTCTTTAACGTAATGGTGGTAGAAAATATCTCAGACTTAAAATATGGTATATTTGCTGTATCATCCAATAAAGGACAATGTACAGTACAGTATTTCTCCCATCAATCCATAAACAGTACTTTGTGTCAGTCTTGTCACAGTAGCACAATGTATTAATAATAATAATAATAATAATAATAATAATAATAATAATAACAACATTAGAAACAAGGGTTTCCAATTTAATAAAAAGTTTTTTGAAGATGAAGGTTTTGAGTCTACATTTGACAGTGCTTAAAGAAGCTGAATCCCTGATATCCTTGGGCCTAGAATTTCTAGAGCTTTGGGGCTTAACAAGAGAAGTCCTTGACACCCACAGAATGTAGACGAGGGTCAAAGAGGAGACCAGAGTCAAATGAATGAAGGTTGTGAGATAGGGAGTAGTAAGATGATAAGTCAGATAGGTGCTGAAGTGCCAAGCCATGTAGAGCCTAATAGGAGATAATGAAGTTTTTCCAGTATGGATTTAGATACCTCAACAAGTAGGGCAGTAATCAATTGGAGAGAAGACAAATGTGTAGACCAGGTTTTCAGCTACTGTCTGAGACAATATAGTCTGGCAATATTTTTAAGATGGGACAATGATGTTTTTACAATATTTTCCACATGTGGGTCAAATGTCAAACCTGGATCAAATATCACCCCCAGGTTCTTCAGTTCAGATTGAAATTCAATTACATTGCCATCCACAGATGGGTTTCTTCCATTGGCTTTATACAGTTGATGGAAAGTACTGACAAGTATAGTTTCAGACTTGACAGAGTTTCCTTCTGACAAAAGTACAGTACCTGCCAGTCTCAGGAAATGAGAATTGGCAAGCACAATGAGAAAACCGATAAACCAACGAGCCACATCCTGCGTCAAATAAATGAAGTAAAAATTAAAACAAAATATTAAACGTAATAATGAAGGCATTCAATCTGTCAGCAGCTTCTGTGCTCAGAGTTGGATAATTCCACTATTTCTGCAAAAAACAGTATATTTCACTTATGTAACCAGAGCCTTTCCATAATGGAAAAATGAATCTGGGTCAGGATAATATGAATAAAAAAAAAAGTGCAATAAAGGAAATTATTTAAATTTTGGAAAGGCATTGAAGCATTTACAGAAACATTACTTCTGCAGTTTAAAATTGATCAAAAGTGGTAACTGTTACAGTATCTGTTGACACAGAACATTTGCTATTTTCTAGACTTTACTTTAGAGCATACTCACACAAGTGACATACATAAATTGTTTAAAAGTTATTCCTTGACCTATACCATCTTCAGACCGCCATGTATGAATTGATTTATTTTTTGAAGTGACCTTTAAGATGCATTTAAAGGGGATCACCCAGGGAGAGGTGCTTTAAATGTGTCGGAATTGATGAAAAAGGTGTATTCCACTGAGTGTGCAAACATGGCCAAACTGCACAAATGGGGTTCCTTTCTTATCCTCCTGTGAACAGCTGTTAAGGGTAGTGTGTTTTCAT